ACTATTGTAATTACCCATATTATAATTAAGAGGGTGTAGGACAACACATCCTGTATAGAAATTATTTCACACTCTATTTCTTTCTATCTGCTTTCTCCTCGTTTTTCTATTTCCTAATCCTAATCCTCAATATTGTAGTTTTAACTTGGTAACACATTGTCGACAAATTCAAGAAAAATCTCCAACAAAAAACCCTATTGTTGATGTTGCTAATGTCATCCTGTAGTTAAATTTTTCCGGAGATCCAAAACCATGTATGGACTTGGTTTTTTGTGCTGATTTTTTTTAGTGTTTTTTTGAAGTTGCTTGAATGTTCTTTTCCTATTTTCGAATATTTTTAGAAAAATATTGGGCCGATTCTTCAATTTAGTATTTTCACGTAATCCAAGGGTGTTTGATGCTGCACTGTAGTCCTAAATGTGCCTATTAAGCCTTGTGAAGGTTGTTTTGAATGACCTATTGGTATTTCGTTGATCTATGAGTGTTTTTTAACTTGGTCAGTGGTTCAGCTTTCCTATTTTAAGTCTGTTTGGATGATTTTGTCATAGGAGATTTTGCCCTGGGTTGCAATTGAGAGATAAGGAGGTTGAATCTGAAGTACCCATGTGGAATCTGTGGTATCCATTCTCTTTTGGTTAATTTTTTTTGAGCTTTTTTGCTCGAAGAAGGTGGTCGGCAGTTACTTTTCCTTGGCAGTTGTTGGTCACGGTTTCGACGAAGTCCCTAGTTTGTCCATTTGCTATTGTGTATGTTCTGGGCAGATGCCGTGTTGGATTTCTGTTTGGGTTTCTTGTTCTCTCTCATACATTGTGGGATTGTTGATTGTTGCATACCATTGGTCCGTGTGGTTCCAATTGCGGCATAGTTGATTATGGTTTGAACAATGGGGATGTTGAATAATGTCAATTGTGTCTTTGGTGGCGATCATGGTGGTGGACATGGTCCACCCTATAATACCAGTCCTTGTGGGTGAGGTGGTGGTTGTTCTAGTCGTGGTAATCATTTTGGATGAAAGTGTACTTATTATGGTGGTATAAGACGTACTGAGGATTATTGAGATAAGAATGGAAGACCAGCATATAAAAATCTAGCTTCTTATGATACTTTAGGTTCTCTAATGCATTAGCTTATATCGATGGTCCAGTTACATCTACTTCCAGCTCTCATGATGATCTTTCTTCTCAGATTAGTCAGCTCATCCAACGGTTATCTTCACTTTTTCACATTTATCTGCTTCTATCATAGTTTTTACTAATGGAGCCAACTCTGCATGTGTGGCTACCCAACCTTCTTCGTCTACGTAGATCATTGATTTAGGAGTTAGTGCTCATATGTATGGTATTTCTTCCCATTGTCTAACTCACGTATTGTGTTAGTTAGTGGTTCTTTTTGACCCGTGCATGGAACTAGTGATTTTCGTTGTACTCAATCTATGCCATTAACCAGGATTTTAGGACGAAGAAGGTGATTGATTCACGACATGAGAGTAATAACCTTTATTATTTGGATCCCAAAGTTCTTATTACTACCTTAAGTGCTATCGTGTCTCTTCTTCAGTGACACTTTTAACTGAGTCATTCTTTCTTGAGAAGTTGCTCAAGTTATCCTTGGTTTGAGTTCTTCATGTGTGTTAGAGTGTTAGGCTAGTAAATAAGGCAAATATCACCATAGTTCTTTTCCTCCTAGCTCTTCAAGTCATGAACTTTTAATATTATCCATTCAGACATTTGGGGTCTTGCAAGTTTCAAAAGTATTTTTGATTTTTATTATTTTATAATTTTTGTTGATAATTTCTCTCGTATTACTTGGTTATTCCTTATGAAAGACCGATCTAAATTGCTTAAGGTCTTTACTTCATTTTATAATGAAATTCTAGTTCAATTTGACATACGTATCAACGTTCTTCGGTCTAACAATGCCCTTGAATATAATCAATCATTTATGAAAACTTTTTTGTGCTAATCGTGACATTATCTATTTGGGAGTGCAAAATATGAGATTGACCTTGAATGTTGAAGCAACACAATGTGACCTAAAGGAGGCGAATATGTATTATGAACTCAAACTAGAAATTATACCCAAATGAAACCTAGCTCACATAATTACAAGTTTAAACCCCTATATGATCACGACCTTTGACCTAATTAGTGAATGTGTAATTGAATTTAACGTAGTTTAATTCAGCACAATCCACTAATTCAAACACATCGAATCCTGTCCACCAAATCACCAAATATGTACAAATTGAACGGCCACCAACACATGTTAGATTTGCTCGATCATTCAACCAAGAATGAAGAAGGAATAAAAAATGGTAGGTGTGTAAAAGTAAGCAATCACACGACACATGCAATTTTTATATGGAAATCCTCTCGAGAAAAATCACAGGACCAATCTTGGTAAACCTAAACCTAATCCACTAATTTAAAACTTAGCTTACAAGTTCGAAGACTTATACCTCAACCCATTCCATGCCTTGAAGTTTTCTCCTTTGAATCTTTACTCTAGATATTCACCACAAACGTCTTGACAACTAGCTTCAAAATCAACGAACCAACATCCACAATCCGTCATTGTGGAATTCTCCTTCTCCTTTTAGAATTCTCCTGTTGATGTTGTGGGTTCATTCTCTACTTCGTGATATGGTTATCCATGTGCCTTCTCCTATGCCGGTGTATTGTGACAACCAAGCTATTTTCATTGCTAGTGAGTCGATATTTCATGAGAGGATTAAATACATTGAAGTGGATTGCCATTTTAGTCGAAATCTCTTGATGCGAAAGGAGATTACCACACCATACATCAAGTCTATTGATCATCTGGGTGACATCCTTACCAAACCATTGGCTCAATTTGTCTTCAATAATCTTTACTCCAAGCTGGGCATCTTTGATTTTATGTTCCACCTTGAGGGAAACTTTTAGAGTTCTTAGTTTACATTATTAGTAGTGTAGGGCAATATTGTAATTACTGGTAGTGTCAGTCTATTATAAATAAGAGGGATGCAACACATTTTTTCACAATCTATTTCTTTCTCCTCCTCTTTGAATTTCTTAAACACTAATCCTCAATATTCTATTTTCAACTTCTTCATACCATGAAATCTCAAATTTCTCTAAATTTGGTACTAGTCATTGTTGGGTGCCATGTTAACTACTTGAGATTTAAGCGATTGTCATGAACCTTGACTTGGATTATTTTGTCATCGAATCTTGCCAAAGGAATTTTGTATTAATTCTTTCCCAATTAACCAAGTATGTATTTGAAGTCTATGGTTTACATGTTGCACAGTAGAAAGATAGCAGTATACTTGCATGTTGTCTATGACAAGGTGATATCATTAGTACATATCCTTTGGAAATATTATACCTAGCCTTTAGAATTATTGACCTAGTAAACCACTATTTTGGGGTTCTTGTATATCTGCTAGTCTTTTAAGAACCTAGATTGTCAAGCCAGAGGCCCTTAGCAAAAATATGTCATCAATTCTTTTTCCCTTTTGCGACAATAACTAATGTCATAGATTATGTATGAGTTGGTGTTTTGAATGTTAAAGATAAGGAAAAGAAAAGGATGACATGCTTATTATAGGAATGACATGAATCGAAATTTTGTTTCAGTACATAGTTTTGGTCTACATGGAAATATAAATATTTCGGAAAAGGTTCAAAACTTTTCAAAAAAAAAAAATGAAAATAGATAAAAAATTTGAAATTTAGATTCCAGAATATCCCGAAAAGTACCGAAATATTAGAGTTCAATTTTTAATCACTGATTTGTTTTCAAAATGTTTTGGTTGTTTCGTCTGAAACAAAAAGAAACAAATTTGAATCCTTGATTACGAACATAATTGTTAAAGTTTATAAGCTAGTGTATAAGACTTAGAAAACAAATTCATGTGGATATCTTTTTATTGGGTTGCCCGCCTAAAAAAGAGGAAGTTATAGATGCTACACTGAAACTTTCAGAGAAGCTTTTTCTAGAAAATCTATGAAGAGGCTTCCAATAGGAAGTTCAATGTTTTGCTACCCATCAAAACTATCATGTTGCAAGCAGTACTCATTCTGGAAATTATGATCATGGATGGCTATATCAATCACCATCTATTCTAATGTATCTATCAATCACCACCTATTGTAAGTAGAAGCAATGAAAAACATGAGTTGGGATTGAACTAGTTACATAGCCAGTCAATTGATCAGTAAAGAGCTAATTTTGTTGGTACTTGAGAAATTGAATATTTGAGTTAATGAGCTTGTTCCTTACTTTAAGAGCTTGTAAGGTCATTGTACAGTGATATTTAAAAGGGTAATTCATTAGAAAAAAGGGCCTAATATGAATAAAGAGTTTCATAGGTATTCATAGAAAACACCGGTAAAGTAATTTTGTTTCATAATGTTCTCACGAAATTAGTTATTGTCCACCCCTAGGACACAGGAGGAGAAATTCCATCAATGCAGTGAGGTAAATCAATTTGTCGTAAGTGGTTCTTGCGTGTGCCTGATATTCATTTTCTGCATTGAATCATTATTGTTTAGAAATTGGTAATAACTGACCCTCTTTTGAAAGGCTGCACAGAGTAGCTATTATTCAACTTGGATTCTCTTTTCAACGTTAAGTCCCCACATTTCCTCAGTTAATGACCTGTATAAAAATTGCACTTGGTATGCATTGTTTAATGATTATCTCCCCATGAGAAATCATGATCAATCTGCCTTTTTCCGGGCTAATTCTAATTGATTGCTTAAATTAATTCTGTGCGACGTTGATTCAAAAATATTGGGATCTTATGTTATTATCAGAATTCTTAGTTTCCACCATTGTTTTGAAGTGTCTATTGGTTTGTGGGTTCTCCAAACTTCAGCAATATTATAGAAGTCAAGTGTGTATTTTTTGATTGTTAGTCGTTGTCACTTAAAGAATATAGCTAGAAGCCTATAAAGTGTACTTTGATTTCATTTTTAAGTACAGATGTACTTAAAATAGTATTGTCTGGGTGCAGATTGTTATGCTCCAAAGAAGTTTAATGATGGGAGGAAGGTCAGATGGACTTGATCGCCACAAGGACTGGAGACTTGATGTTGATAAAATGTCGTATGAGGTCTCTATGTTTACCTAGTAAATGCCTGTGTCCTTGTTTTGATTGAAAATTTTCATGTACTTGGGTCACTTAATCTTCACTTTTGTGCAAATATCTTGATTTGGTGGTGCCAACAGGAATTACTTGAGCTTGGTGATAGAATTGGATACGTTAATACCGGATTGAGAGAAGAGGAGATAATATGCTGTCTCAGGAAAACTAAGCTTTCCATTTCGGGTGGTTTTCCATTACATTTCCCTACAGAAATGGAGCGGAAGTGCAGCATTTGTCAGGTAATTTATAAAAAAATGTTACTAGCATTGCTTTTAGTTGTCAAATCTTTCTTCAAATCTGCTATTTGATTTGTTCCCAATCTTCACATGCATTTACTGTTTTTTCAATTTAAATTCAGGAGGAATATGACACAGAGGATGACATGGGCAAGCTCGATTGTGGGCACTTGTATCACATCCATTGCATAAAGCAGTGGCTTGTGCAGAAAAATACCTGCCCTGTCTGTAAAACCGCAGCCGTGACTCAATGCTAGGCTGGATGACTTCTCACACTTCCATCAGCCCTGGTGGTTTTTGGACAGCTGTTTTGGGTCTCCTCTGTACAGATTACATCTTCAATACAAGCAAACTGCTATTCTTTGGTGTGGCATTTTGTTCCTATGTCCTTAATATGAAATGATGGGCCGTTTTTTCGGTTGTTAGTCCCGTACGATTGGAGCTTGTTTAGGAATCTGATGGAGATTGTGATATGAGCTTTACCATTTCATCAAATCACAATATCTTTCATTTTCCCGCTTCTTACTGTTTGGCAAATGTTTAATGTGTACTGCACTTGCCGCTTTTGGTAATGACATCCTTTTATTCTGTTTACAAATTTGAATGCAAAAGTATTGATTCTGGTTTTCATGCCTTGGCTCCAATTCTGCAGATAAAACTTGAAAGTTTTCTTCCCCGGTCTTAAAATGAAATCAAGACACCTTCAAGCTTGTCTGGATCCTTTGTGAGAGGGAAGGCACATTTATTTTTGGCATAGATTATAGTTTCTGCCCAGAAATTAATTTGGACTGAACATGGGGGAAGTTTTTTTTTTTTGGTTGGGGTAGTGTGTGTGTTGTGGTGGTGGTGGTGTATCCAAACTACTTGATGCCTTCTCGAGAATTGAAGTGTGTTTCCCCCTGGCACCTGAGCTGGGAGCTGGAGGGAGGAAAACTAGTCCAGTCTTTGCTTAGGTCAGAGCAATTGTTTTCTTCCTTGGTTTGGTATTGATTTGCATTTTATCAGAAGCACACAAAAAAGAATAAAACAATTTGTTTATTTTTGGTTCGAGAGTGAAATAACTAAAAAGACCCTCTTTTGTTAAGAGTCCAAAAATCATTCCTGAACGGACTCTCTCTCTCTCTCTCTCTCAAGAATAGGCTAGATCCATCACTGTTCATAAAAAAAGAATAATACAAACGCATGTCAGTTGCTCTCACAACAGCTTTCAACAAATTGAATCATAATGTATCTTCAACATCATACGCATTTTGTATAAGAAAACTGGACAGGAATCATTTTTATGTTTCTGGCTGGCAATAAAAGAAAGATGAGTCCAGTACTTGCTCCAGAAAACTTCACTATACAGCAAACTGATACAAAAGTCAATAACCGATACAAGTTCATTATTTCACCCACAGCACTCCTAGAAGGATGCATCTTTAGAAGCTAATCTCGGAATCTGAGATGTAATAATGCTTAGGAGGAACATTTGTTTTAGTGTGTAATATTTACATTTGCTATTTCGTCAACCGATCATGGACACCTCTGAACTGCTTACAACAACAACACTACCACCACATATACATATTCACAGCTTCCTCTTTCTCTCATACCACAGATTGATAGGCATCCGGGATTTTCTTCTATTTAAAGTGATTCTTCATTGGGATAACTTCATTTTTCAACGACAGAACTTAGAAAGAAAGCATAAGAGAGAAACCGATGTCTGTCATGTATGGCTTCACATGGCTAGGTTTCATCATGACGAGTTAGAAACTCAATTATAAGTGGATAAACTTGACCGGCTGCCTGCATTTAGAAAATTGTGAAAATTATTTGAAGGAAATAGTTATACAACTTGGAATATGTAATGCTTTCACAATGGTTAAAAGAAAGTCAATTTTAAAACACATTTAGCACATACCAAATGACCTCCCACTAAGTCATAGTGCCCATAATGTGGACCGCGCCGTTCACCAAAAACTTTGTACGTAAACAAACGCTCAGGAATCAGCTTGACTGTTTCTGTCCCATTAAAAACACTCAAAAGTCATTTGACAAATTAGACTCCCTAAAATATAAGACATGAACAATGCTAAATTGATCCTTCACCATACAGCCTCAGCTGGACAGATTAGATCTTGGTCACCAGCAATTGCTAAAACAGGCACTTCACTTTTGTGCAGATGATCTTTGTAAAAGACAGTTCTGCTCCTGTCACATAATCCACCCTTTTGGAAGACTGTTGCTAGCTGCAAAAGTAGCTTAGTGGGCACTGTACCTGTGAATTATTCAGACAGTCAGCCAAATATGGTTCAAAAGACAAAGGGGAAAAAGGAGTGCAACAGGCATGCACACCCTAGTAGATGTTGACTAGTAAGTCCAGTTGATAACAATCTCTTTTAACTAGTTCGCATCCGAGCTCATTGGCTAGAACAAGTATGACATCAATTTTTTGAAGGCAAGAGTCCAGACAGCTTATGAATTGGATGGCAAGACCATTTCAATACAAATATAACTCATAAAAAGAAGCTTAACAGATTGAATGCTTCAAACGTGTCAGCTATCCCCTTTGCTTTTCATATTGGTCAATGGTGATGGAGCCTGAGCAAGCTTTTGGGCAGAACTGTGGAGGGGAGATGATTAAAAAAATCAGAGTGAGGGAAGGGGGCAGACCCCATTGGAAGTCTCAAATATTCTTTTTGCAAACAATACCACAATGTTTTCCCAGTGTGTGGATAAATAACAGCTCAGGTATCTTAGGCATGTTCTATTATGCTTTGGGCCGGTCTTATAGTTTTGCACCAACCTCACCAAAAGTTCAGAAATTCTAGCTGGAGAAGTGGTTGGTAGCTTGGTTTTGACTAGGAATTTGGGGCAAGCAGTTAAGTTTTCTTCCATGCGCCTAATTGGGTTCTCCAGGAGCCCGGAGCACCATTCAAATGAAAAGGTATGTGGAACCCCCTGGATATGGAGAAGTTCGGGTTAGTCTAGTCAAGAGGAATTGGCATATATATCAACATCATGTCTGTGTTCACTATGCCAGCTTCAATAGACAGCAGATTTGACAAGCTGCATGAAGATTTCATAGGGAAGGATTGACGATAAAATACTGTTGAAACTTCAATTCAAAAGGTTGGACCAGGGTTAAAATACTTGAGGGTTTTCAATCAGGTATGGATTCTGGCGAGAGACTTAGAGAAATATATGGATGTGATCATGGTGGGTGGACATCGAAATAGGTAGGAACCTTTCACTGGGTTAACTTTGGAAAAGTATTTGAAGAGCCTGGGAGGAATTCTCCAAGAATATGGCATTTGTTGCCACAAGTTTCAAAGGATTCGATTTAGGGATGATGTGTCATGTGTGGTGTTACCACAAAATGAATAGTCTATGTGAAAACATATTAGTGTTAATTGACAATCCAGCGGCAGCTTTTCCTTGGAGGGGTGTTTGGTGGAATTAAGTACTAATCTACGCACTACCAACAAAAAATATCAAAATACGACAATTTTTAACTTATTTATCAAACTATGACACTTTTTGAAAACGTATTTGTTAACCATGTTTTTGTAAGAAGTGTGGTCAACAACACCACTTTTATTAGAAAACCTGGTCAACAGCCCCGCTTTTCTAAGAATCCAATGCACGCGTTTATTATAAATACATGCACACACTGACAGAAGCTTAACAGTAGAAAATCTTGATTATTAGGCTCACTTTCTCATGAATTACACATACATATTCATCAGGCGCACTCTCTAATTCAATTGACGATGGCAAGAGACGAAAAAAACAAGAGACCCACCAAACCCCTTCATCCTTATCATCATCAGGCTCTTCTTCACCTTGTTCATCATCTAATTGTAATGGACTGGTTTATGTAATTATTTTCTTTTGATAAGTTGCTTATTAGGTTGGAAGTTGAAATTGGAGCATTCCTTTTTTTGGTTTTGGTGAGTTTTTTCTGTTGAGTCTTTGCTTTTAGGGTTCACTAGAGGCAGGCCGACAGGTGAAATCTTGGCCAAATTGAGTTTCAGCCAATAAGTTATGGTGTTAATGAGCTAGAGGGTAAAGACGAGTGTGGCCCACGTGCTGGAGGAGGGAGTATGAGTTGAAAAGGCTAAGCTAGTAGTGTACAGATTGCATCTGGTGAGTTATGGTGCTTATGAGCTAGCTAGAAGACTCAAAAGACGGATGAGATAACGCTCAGGTGAAAACACAATTTGATAGAGAAGAAGGCGTGTGCCACTTTCAATAAGAAAGCGTAAACGTGATTAATAACCATGCTTTTAATTTTGTTAGACATAATAAAGCATGTTCAATAATCACGTTTTTTAATGTAAATGTGTTAAGTAAACACACTTTAAAAAAGTGCCTAAAGTGCCGTAATTTAATAAAAAGTTAAAAAATGCTCTATTTGGTAATAATGTTTTCAAATTGCCGTGTTCTGATAATTAATGTGTCTGGTGTGCCAAGGCCACCTCGAAGGTTGCAGTTTTTCCGTGGACAGCAGCTTTAGAAGTCATACAATGACCTGATAAGAAGAGGGAAAACTCTTATTCAATAGCAGTGAAGGAGCAATAATGTGAAGGAAAAAGTGGATCACCAACTTTTGCATAATAAGGTGGCTCAAGAATTGCTCTGTTCTAAAGTCAGTGGATGCACTGTTCTGTAGTTTGAGAGGTAGCAGGGTGCATAGGAAACTGTGAGAGACTTGGACCAAAGCCCCCGTATGTCTTATGTAGAGTCTCTGGAAGGAGAGGAACAGGAATTCAAAAAAAAAAAAAAGCATTCAGCTTCCACTACATACACTCAGTAAATAACGATTACCTAAACTCAAATATACTTTCCTGAGTACTTTTTCTGGCAGTAATGAAGTGTATCCTGGCCCCTGGGGTATAAAATCTTTTATAGAGTTTTTGCGCTCCATGTTATATCTCCTAGAAGGGGGTGCTGCTTTGTATATGTTGCATGTACTTGTGATTTGCCCCATTTTTGAGTGCAATGAAATGTTGCTTGTACGTCGAGCAAACAAATGAAATGTTGCTCACCCAAACCTTTCGGAAATATAAAAGAGATTTTGCTCATCCAATAGAAAAAAATTACGCGCAAGAAGGCAGAAGCTACTGTCACAGATTCTCCAAAATCCAAACAAGCAGCTTTTCAAGAGTACATCATCAAAGAAGCAAAGATACAAAGCAAGGTAACAAAATTACAAAACAGCTAACTCTTAGCAATACTTTAGTACCACTGTGATGCCCACAACTAAAGTGTCACACCCCAACTACAAGGGCATGACCGGCCGTGAACCATAGATCCATAACCTATGGAACACGTAAGCCTAACAATAAACTAATAATATAGGAGTGGAAAACAACATTAACACTAAATTGATCTCATGTCAATATGTTAAAGTCAACATACCTAAACCTGTTTGCCACAATTATCCAAACAAGTAAAGATGACTATACGATATATGCTACGGAGGTCACAACACTATTAGTCTCCAATCAATTCCCTGAATCTGCTATTGACACTCCAATCGTTTGCCTAGAAAAATATTATTTTGAAAACTTGAGCTAAAAAGCCCAGTGAATGGAAAGATATGCATATTCAAAGTGGCTGAAAAACATATTTGACATACGACATGTAAATCAAAGATTTGGAAAAATAATTTCATCAAGTCAACCAATTTCTCAAGAATAACACAATCGAATTCCAACAAGAAATCATACCACAATGGTGAATCATATCATAATGGTGGAGACTGTACAATATCCAATAATTGATGGGAACTAAATACCAAATACCAAATTATATCTCAGGGTTGGGTCCAACATCGTTCTTAGGGTCACCACGGGTTGGCGCCCGGGAATTGTTCCCTAAGACGATCCGGTGGAGGTCACCAGAACGCATCAAGAACTATTCCTTCAACCGTTGAGCACTAGAGTCACCTCAGCCTCTCCCGGGTCTGTTCCCTAGTGGCCAGGGAACAAGCATTATGTATCATTTTTAAAATGTTTAGGGATACAGAAAAATTACGTAGCATGCCAAACCACTCATTTCAAGTCCAAAGGAAATGCTTTGTCATCCGATGTTGATTGAGAAGTTGCCGATCCCTTACATTGTTCTTCCACGGTTTCGTTTCTTCTTATATGAAGTATCCAACCTTCCTTTTCTCTCTCTAGTGGGAGGTCACCAATGTGTTTTCCTCCTAATTCAATAACTAAGTCCCCTATTTATAGGCCTTCAGGACTCCTAGGAATATTCTAGAATATGGACATGTGTCATTATTTCCTTGGTGTGGGGAACCTTTGTAGATTCTCCCTTCACTTCCTTACTTGGAACTTTCTAGGTTCCAATTGTCGATATTTATACAATGGTTAATCCTCCACTTCTCTAGAAACCTCCATACTAATCTAGGACATTGTGGAGTAATCTTTATCTCTCTAAAATCTTCTAAAACCTTCCGCACTCTTCTGGAGTGCTCTAGGTTCCTCAATATTCTAGAACCTTCCAGATCTTTCTAGAAACTTCAACATTCTAGATTCTTCTAGATTATTTTAGACTATTCTAGGTTATTCTTGAACTTTCTAGAAACTTCTCCAACATTCTAGATTATTCTAAATTCTTTTTTAAAATTTTTCTTATTCCTTCTAAGATAATATTCCCTAACTAGTTCCTTGCCAAAATGGAACGAGATATTACATAAAGCATGCATTGCAAAGAATGTCCTAAGACATTTTTTCCAAGGGGTTTGAGTGAAGTAACCAATAGGGAAAGGGAATTGTGACGAAAAAGGCAGGAGGCCCTACAATCATGACATGAGTTGGTTAAGCTAGGGGGGCCATGCAAGGTTGGTTTATATTCTTAAGAGGCTTCTCCATTCATTGTCAAGTATTTAGAATTGGATGGTCTAATATGACACCAGAGCTGAGTCTTGGGTGATCAATAGGCCAAGTCTCTTATATATTTGGTATTCATGTTTGTTTGTTTGTTTCTTAGCCCCGCATGCAAGCCTGGATCTTACATGAGGGAGAGTGTAAAGAAAACTTATATTGCACATCGAATGATAAGGACCACCCAATGTTGATTTATATGCGTAAAGGGCATCCCTATTTATTGCTAAATGGTTTAGGATTGGATGCTTTAACATGCTCAAGTAGGAAAGTTTCGTGTGACTACAACATTTACAAATGATACCTATACGTTGAAATAATGTAAAGAGAAAGGAAGAAAAAGAGCAGAGAGAGTTAGGGTTCTCTCACTTTGTCACTTATATTTATAGTTCAACAATCAAAAAGACAAAACTACCCTTCATAACAATAAAGATAAAAAAAAAAAAACTAAATAGCTTCTAACACTTCCCCTCAAGCTGGTGCAAAGATATCACTCACGCCTAGCTTGCCAAGGGTTAAGTGGAACACTTTACTAGATACTTCCTTTATCAAGATATCTGCAAGTTGATCACCTATCTTCACAAATGGAGTGCAAATTAAGCTGGTACTCAATTTTTCTTTGATGAAATGTTTGTCAACCTCTGCATGCTTGGTTCTGTTATGTTGAATTCGATTGGGAGCAATGCTAATTGTTGCCTTATTGTCACAGCACAATTTCATCAGTTCCTTAGAGTTAAAACCAAGTTCCTCTATTATGGATTTTAGCCACAATAATTTACAAATATCATAAGTCATAGCTCTAAATTCTACCTCTGCACTAGAACTGGCCACAACCGACTGTTTTTTGCTAAGCCAGGATACCAAATTTGCACCTACAAAGGTACAATATCCAGATGTTGATCTTCTGTTTGTAACAAATCCAACACAATTAACATCTGAATAGGTTTCCACATGTAGATGATCATGCTTAGAAAAAAGTAGCCCTTTGTCAGGTGCTAG